TTTTGTTGTCAGCGATCAATGTCATATGGGCCTTAACTGTGTTGCATGACCTTGAGGTGTTTTCTGTTGCTCTCCCGGTTTCTCTCCTTCATTTCTTATGGCTCAAACGCTTGGTGGCAAAAGGAGAAGCAGTGGGGAAAGTGAACTCACATTTATCGAAGGCCTCCGTGTGCCAGGGCACCGTGTGAGGTGTTTACCAAAGTCAGATGAGCGGGTGAAGCCAACCCTCTGACGACTGACTCTGGGGAAAGACAACGTGGGGCTGTCTCTGGGCTAACTCAGGTGCGCTAGCTCCAGGAGAGAGTGGCTGGGAGGCCAGGAGCCCGCTTATGACGGCGATGCCTGCATCTGCAGCTCTCCCAGTTCAAGTGGCATCGCTGGAGGGAGAGCAGGCTGGCGTAGGGGCCCTAGCAGTGCTCTCTCAGACCCAAGCTGCCATCCGGACCCTCAGTTTTCCTTCTACATTTCCTTCTACATTCTTCTTTTAGGAAACACTGTTTCTGTGGGGGATGGAAAACCTCTTTCTAGCATGCCTGGACAGTTCTCATGGTGCCAGGCGGCAAACTTCCCAGTACCAGGTGCCAGTGCTCAGAATGTCAGTAAAGGTGGGCAGAGACGGGCTAAACACTTTAAATGGCTGCCACCCACCCTAGGCTCTGTCGGGATCTGTTGCCAACTGTCTCCTTAACTCCATGCCCCGGCCCCGTCAGCTGCCCGCAGTCTTCCCCAGGCTCTTGGGTTTCTCGTTGCCATGAGTGGCACCATCCTCCACCCTGCCAGCCAGGCCCATGACTCCTCGTCCCCTTTACTTCCCCACACAGGCAAGGGATCTAGAACGCGCCTACTTCACGTCACTTAGACTCGTCCCATCTCTCTGTCTCGACCCAGGCGGAATTAGTCACTCACCGCTCCCGGGAAGCCCCATGGTCCTATTGGTGTAGCACGTACAGCCTGTTGTGATTGCTATTTGCGTGTTTCTCCTCACTCACCTGCGAGCGCCATTGCTCACTGTGGCCTTGGGTCTCTGTGGAGTGACGCTAGATGTCTGTGGAGTAGATAAAGGAAAGCCCAGCAGAGCTGCTAGTGCAAGGGATTCAGAACCGAGTAGGTATGAATTCCAAGGGTTGCAGTTATTTTCCAAAATTGCCATAAAAGGTCAAAATGTTCTTGAGGCTACAGAGGAGTCAGGTCTGGTGTCGGGTGTGAGGGAGCGTTTAGGGTTGGGGACGTAGTAGCGTGCGTGCGCGTGTTGTGCGCCATATGTCCCCTGTGCACAGGTGTTGGCACGTTTGGGGAGGGCGTTGGCGAGTGTAGAAGGGATGCATCCGTATGTGATCCCATCTCCGCTCTTGCTAGACTCTGCGCCTCAGACGCTGTCACGCAAGGACGGCCCCCAGTATGGCACGAAGGCCATACTGCAGACGGGCCCATGGATGGGGCAGGTCAGGGAAAATGCCACGTCTTTTGGTTCCTGTGAAGAGAGCATATGGTCACGGACAGCGACCGCCGTGTGCCCCCTGCCGTACACTTCCATCCTTCTGTTCTGCTCTCCTAAGGAGTTCCATGTCTGAGCGCTGACTGACCCTGCGTGCTTTTCTTCTCCTCTCTCTTCCTTCCTACAGTCGGTTCTGAATGTGATCGGTGAGCTGCAGCAGCAGATGTGTAGGCTGCAGCTGGACATCCACAGGCAGATCCAAGAGCGCCTCTCACTCAGTAGGGACCACCCTGAGGAGGTGGCAGCCGACGACGGTGCGGCCCGGCCCCAGCCCTGCGGCCAGGAGTGTGCCCGTTGGGAGGGGTCACCTGTAGGAACCACACTTAAGTATATCAGAGCATGCGTGTGTGTGGCATCTCGCTGGCGGAGGGGCTGGGGCTTCTCCTGCCTGGAACAGCGTGCGCTGGCTTAACATGGATCTGTGGTCACCTCTGGGCAGAGCTTGGGACTTGCTCCCCTCGGGATGTGAGCTGAGCTCCGTGACCCTCGCTGAACGGGGTCTGAGCTGGCGAGGCCAACCCTCTGACCGGTGGCGGTACTCACCTCTCTCAGGGCTGGGAATGAGGTGCGTCAGGTGCCCTGAGTGACGGGGCGTTGGTGTAAAAGCAAGCTTCGGGGCCCCTTCCCAGGTACGACTCAGACACTCATTCTCCCTCCTGGGCTGGGAGAGTAAATGAAGTTTCAGCTCCCATGAATTTTTTTTTTAATTTAAGAAAAAATAGCATCATAAAATAATCCTCTCAAGTTTATTTTTAAAGAGGTTTATCCCCAGTGAGGAAATAGAACACAAGTGTCCGTATGCTGTGACAACTCTCATCATCTGAATTTCCGGGAAAAGCTCTCCCGTGTAATCACGTTCGAGGCCCTATGGGGTGTATCTGCCTGGGATTCTGGACTTGGCCCCTTGCGCTGGTGTCACCAGGTCCTTTGTGGTGGCAGCTGCACAGAGATGAGCCTGTGCTTCCAAGGCCCGCTATTGAAGAGGACTTGGAAGCCCAAGGGAAAGTCAAGGCCGTAGTAGCCATGTCTGTAGGAAGTTGCCATGATCCATACTCAACTATGGGACATGTTGGAAATCTCCACCCAGACTTGGGCATGAGGGGAGGGGGCCTCGGTGGGGAAAAAATTGAGAGTCAAGATGTAGGTGTAGATTTGGAAAGGGAAGCTCTGAGAGGGGTGCTGGGCATGCCCCCTGGTGATTGGGTTACCCCAGAAAGACTTGTAAAAGAAGTTACACTGTGCACCAGTGTTTATAGCCCACAATGGGCAACAAATAGCTTAGAAGGAAGGGGCTGTGTCAGAGAGGTCACAGAGCCTGGAGGTCATCGTGCTCTGTGTCCCCACAGTGGCAGCTCCTCAGCAGGAACCTGCACACTTTCAGTTCTGCCATCAGCAGGCCTGGCGTCCCCTCAGGCAGGGCCAGAAATGTTCTCAGAAAATGAGCCTGGATCTGCCACAAGTCACAACAGGCCTTAAAGTCTAATGTTGCAGATCACAGAGGCAGTAACCTTAGCTTGGAAGACACGTTTCTAAAAGGGCATCAACAAATGTTCACCTCATTTATAAGAAAATCTTAGTGAATATCCCTGCACAATGCAAGTGTAAGCAATGGAACTTTCTGGTGGATTGTCTCAGGATGCAAAGGCCCGTTAAATGATGGCTTGAATTGCAAGTGTTCGTTCATCAAGAAATAATGTATACCTAACTGTGTGCCAGAGGTTAGCAAAGCTCACGGAGTTCAGTGTAGGAGAACTAGCCATCAGCCATCACACCAGTAACTGTTTAATTGCAAATGATATAAGATTATACAGATGCCACAAGAGAGTATAGCAGAGGGACCTGCTGAAGTGTAGAGGTTGGAATAGCTTTGCTCATGGCGGCCTGAAGGATGGGCAGGGGTTAACCTGGCAGAAAGTTCCAGACAGAGGGAGGGAGAGGCATGTGTGAGGGCCCAAGTCAGAAAGAGGAACTAAAAAGTATCCAGCATGGCTGGAGCATAACTGGGGAGAGACAGTAGTACAAGAGGCAGGCAGGGTGCTGGGTTAGGCCGGGCCGTACTGGTCGTGGGTTAAAGTTCATGAGCTTTGAGGAGCAGGGAAGGGCCAGGATGAGATCTGTGCTGTAATTGTATTGTTCCCCTGGATGCCATGGGGGTCGATGGCTTCAAGAAGGGCAAGATGACAGAAGACCAACCAGTGGAGAGGCTGTCCAGGCTCTCAGCAGTAACTGCTAGTGATGCTAGAGTTGAGATAAAAGAGAGATTCAGGTGATTTCCTTGAAGGCAGAATTTAGAAGGCTTGGGGGATGAGTTACGTATGTGGGGGGGGAAGACAGAAGGAGGTGCCAAGGATGGAGCCCAGGTTTCTGGCACAGGATGGAGATGCCATTTAGTGAGACAGGGATGTCTGTGAGGGGGAATTAAGGGTTACACTTGGGTCATGACAGTCGTAAGATGCCTCTGTGCCATCCATGTGGAGACGTTGTGGGAAGTTTGTTATGTTGAATCTGGAGTTCAGAAAGTCTATGGAAGTAATCGCTTTTATGCTAATTTTTCTGATAGAAACCAGTCAGCAGGACCATTTGTCCATTAAAGGAACCTAGGTTTGGGATAAGGGTGCTCAGCGGTGTCTTTACTAAAAGGGGTACTTTAGAAAGCAGGGGCCCTGGGGTCAGAAGATACAGCCCTGATTTCCAGCGCCACCACCGGCAAGTTGTTTAAATGTCACTTCCCCACTCAGCAACCTTCAGAGGCTCCCTACTCTCTAAAGAATGGCATCAGATCGCCTCATATTCTCATCCCAAAGCCTTTACAGTAAGGCCCCACCGTTTCCCACTGAATGCTGCCCATCCTGTGCTCCAGCCCAGCAGGCTGTCTGCCCTCTCCCTGGACGCCGCCTCCCTCCGTCCTTTCTTCAAGCCAACCCCTCCTCTGAACTGGAACACCCAGACCGGCTTCTGCATTTCACACTTAGCATTTGTCCTTTTAGCGTTTTGTGTCTATCCTCCTGGCTGTCACTTCCTCTGTGAAGCCTTGCGGGAACACCGGCCTCCTCCCCTGGGTTCCTCGACCCCCAGCACAGACAGATGCTCCCTGTTAGCCTGCTTCCTGCTACCTTGTCTGTAACAAGCTGCCTCATTTCTGCATCTCAGTTTCTCTTGCTCCCAACTCCTACCTGTCCTTCCCCCACACATACGTGCATGACTTGGGCACACCCCGCGGGGAGCACAGATGTCAGAGAGGAGCGGGGAGAACAAGTTCTGCAAAGAAGAAGCAAGTTTTCTCTTCCTTTTGTCTGGAGCTCCCTGGCCTTTGTTTTGTAACGGGCACATAGCTTTTCCTGAAACGAGGACCGTGTTTAAAGATTGGAGCCAGCCACGGCGTGGAGCCTGACGCGGTCGCTCCTGCCTTGGTATCCACTGTGCATGTGTTACCCAGGGCTGTAGATCCCAGGAGCATCCTGTTCTTTAACCATCAGAACTCTGTCTCTCTTCGTCACCCCCCTAGGAGTTACTGCAGGAGCTCCGGCACCTCAAAATCAAGGTGGAAGAGCTGGAAAATGAACGGAACCAGTATGAATGGAAACTGAAGGCCACCAAGGTAAAAGGCGGTTCTGATGTTTATGGAAAGGCTTTGAGGCCCAGTGGGGAGGGTCTGGGGTGTGCCGTAGCCTAAGGCTGAGGAATGGGAATTGATCCCACTGTGTGTACACGCAACAGTGCCCAGATTGTGCGAGCAGACAGATTTAATCCAGGAGGGCTCTTTTCCTGGGGAAAGCCCATGAGATTATGAGCTGCTGAGGTCGCCAAGTCTCCTTCCTCTCTCTGTGTCCCATGGCACCCCCCAACCCCCGCCCCAGGCTGACACTGGGCCAATCAGGGCCTCTACGAGTGAGTGATGAGTCCTAGGGCAGAAGAATGCCAACATTGTCTTAGCTGCATCATTTTAAATTTAGCAGCCCCTCTAATAATCAGTTTCTAGAAAGAGGTATGCTTTTATTTTTAGCAATTCCTGAAAATATATACTTGTCATATTTTTGTAACCAGATCATGTTTCTATTGAACTGGGGAGCTTGCTATCTAAAGGACACCCACGATACATTCTTTCGTGAAATAAATTTTATCCCTCCCTCCTTTGTTTTCTCTAATAGTTTCCTCCTTCATTTCCTCTAATAGTTGGAATGGATTCAGCCCACACATTTATTGTTTTGGCCAGAACCTTGTATTTTAAAACGTCGAATTAGCTGTCACTTAAGCATTAGGAAATTTCACATATACAGTTAGACTTCCTTGCAGGCAGAGGAGTAACACTCTGGGGTTGGGGGCGGGAAGCTGTAAAACCCTGAAGCAGTTTTTCCGCCTGAGGAGCTGGCCAGGCTCCCTCTGGTGGGTGGGTGCACGCCTGCCTTTCCACTGAGAGCTCTGCAGCGCCACCCACAGGTGTTACCAGATGGTCCTGTAGGCATCTTCATCTTCTTACTGTTTTCTTAACATCTAGTTTGTACTTTCAGTTTTATTTTTCTATACCTTTAAATGATTCTAAAAACAATAATAACCATTATAGATAATTTTAAACCACAAAAATTTAAAAGAATAAAAATCATTCGTAAACTGCCCAGGAGCTACCACTATTAATATTTTCTTCCAGGCATTTCTCTTTTTGGGGTCTCTCTCTCTCTTAATTTTGATGTTGATAATTTATACACAGTTTTATACCATGCTATTAAAAGAAAACTCCGAACATGATGTTGATGTCTGTATAATATTCTATTGCATAAATGTAATTTTCTTAACTGTTTTACAGATGAGGAAACTGAGGCACAGAGTAGTTAGGCAACTTTCCCAAGATGTTACAGCTAGTCAGCTCCAGCGCTAGACAATCTGCTTGATCATCTACTGCTCTGTTCTTATCTACGTGTCCCCTTGTGTGCACTGCGCTTCACAACCCCCAGTTCTAGGAGCACCGTTTCTCTAAAAGCTCAGAACCTCCCATCCCCACGATCCCCTCAAGCGAGTCCTGTCTTGGTGAAACCTTTGAAGTTGTACACTCCACCTTCTATTATTAAACCAAATAACTCGTTTGAATCGCCTAAGCGTTTTGCCTTGGCATGTAGACCTTTGAGATACTGTGGATTATTTAATAACCACCACGTCTGGAGACCCTCCTGTGTGCCAGAATGGGTCCAGCCCTTTGTACACGTTTTCTCATTTGGTCCATAAAATAGCCCAGCGAGGTCTATTGATTTAATGTCCTCGTTTTCCTGGTGGGGAAACTGAGGCTCACAGTGGCCACAGTGAGGTTCTGATCTGGATCTGTGTCATTCCAAAACTCATGCTCTTTTCCCTCTGTCATCCTAATTCCCTGCAGTTGAAACCTGCCTTGTTTTTGAAAGTTCTTCCATTTTCTGTGTAAAGCTTCTCAGTCCGTCAGTGTGCTTCATCTTTCAGTGCAGCGGCGGTAGGGCAGGGTCCCTGGGTTTAATAAGGCCCAGGATCTGCAGGGAGGCAGAGCCCCCATCTCTGCCTGGCTTTGTCCCAGACCTCTCACCACACAGCTCCAGCCTCAGTGGCCATGGCAGTAGCATACTTTTCCCCATGGTCAGGTGCACGGCCTCTGGGCTGTGGTAGACTTCCCAGCTTAGGGACAGATACCTTTCTAAGCGTAAGAGAGGACCTGTCATTTCTGGCCTATTCTGTGAAAATGGGCACATGGGAGGTTGGACCCAGCCACTTGGTCTGTAGAGTTGTAAATAAATGACTTCACCCAGAGGCAGGCCTCAGAGAAGAAGAGCCTGGGCTCTGTCTTGATAGCATCTCATCACTGGTGTCCACTGTGGGGCCCGCAGACAAGAATCAGGCATCCGGATTCCTAACAGAGACCAGCTCTCACCCTGTCTACAAGGAAGGGGAGAAATGGGTGTGGAAGGTGCAAGAAAAGTTAAGAGAATATCTTCCAAGAATATTCTGGCCCTTGTAGAAATGAGAGGCATTTGGATTGAGTCCCAAGGCTAATATTTTCAGAAGGCACTGTCGCCATCAATCGTAAGCCCATGGGCTCCAAGGCCCTGGGTTAGCTGTGCAAAGCTGCCCGTGGCCGCGAGTCTCTGCAAGCCGTTTGGTACAGCTGGACCCAGCTCTGTCCTCTGTGGGTGGAAACCAAGCAAAGGGACAGTGCTCTGTAGGGACTTTGGGTAAGGAAACCCACCCCTTTGCCACCTCTTTGTTTTTACATGGGCCCATTTTGGGGATGTTAGGGAAGGTTTGTCCAGAACCCCTTGAGGTGGGCTCAGGGAGCCCTCATCTGTGCTATTAACTCAGCCGCAGGCAGCCTAGGCTGGGTGGAGCCCTGGCTTTCGAGCAGGCAGGGTTCACGTCCTGGCCTGGTCGCTGAATAGCTCTGTGACTTGGGAGTCGAATCCTTCCCTACTCCTGTTTTCTCCCCGGTGACGTGCAGGGGTACTGCTTCCTCCCGTGGTTTCCTGTGAGGATTGCGTGAGGGTTGATGTAAGAACGCAGTGAGCATGGGGCGATGGAGAGTAGGCTCTCAGCCCGTGTGTCCTGAAGCTGAACACAGGCCTGTTGGGTGGAAGGGCCACCAACAGGACCAGTGCTCATTTGATTACTTGACTTGTTCAAAAATGGCCTCGGGATAGGACGAGCCCATACCGTAACCTTGCAGAATAAAGGTGGGGCCCGATTGGGCTACCACATGGGGGGCGGGTGCCCAGAGTAGAAGCTTTTGCTGTGTGTGCCGTTGACTGGCTGGGAGTTGGTTCTCACCCCCTTTCTTAGTCTGTTTTGTTTTTTTTCTTTTCTATAGATTTTATTTTATTTATTTATATATTTATTTATTTTTGGCTGAGTTGGGTCTTCGTTGCTGCACGTGGGCTTTCTCTAGTTGCAGCAATGGGGGCCACTCTTCATTGTGCGCAGGCTTCTCACTGGTGGCTTCTCTTGTTGTGGAGCACAGGCTGTAGGCAGACGGGCTTCAGTAGTTGTGGCACACGGGCTCAGCAGTTGTGGCGCATAGGCTCAGCAGTTGTGGCGCACGGGCTTCAGTAGTTATGGCGCACGGGCTCCAGAGTGCAGGCTCAGTAGTTGTGGCACACGGTCTTAGTTGCTCCGCGGCATGTGGGATCCTCCTGGACCAGAGATCGAACCCGTGTCCTCTACATTGGCAGGCGGACTCTTAACCACTGCGCCACCAGGGAAGCCCCTCTTGGTCTGGTTTGATGCTCAGAGACCTAGCTAGTTATCCATAAGGGAAGGAGTAGGATGAGAGCAGCAACAGAAGTGGCATTTATTGAGGACTCACTGTCTACTGAGCATGAGACTAAGTTGTTCATAACCCTTACTACATTTACTCCTTACTGCAGCCCCGTGTGCTAAATGCTGTTTTCCTGGTTTTATAGATGAACCAAGACTCAGAAATGTTAAACCACTTACCCAACTAGGAAATGAGAGAATCCAAGTTTAACTCCAAAGCCAGCGTGCCTCTCAGGACGGGACCTACCCAGTTCTGACCTTCTAATCAGTATGGGAGCACAGGGACCACCTGGCTTGCTGTTACGTGTGCAGTTTAATCTGCTGGTAGAGACTTGGGAACCACCCAGTGCTGCTGCCCACGTGAATGTGTGCGTGCGCCTGTGTTGATTTACAAAAGTACGTCCACTCAGCACACCTGAATGCTGTATGCAATGCTTGTACGTAATTTCATTTGGGTGAAGGAGCATAGGTGTCTGAGGTTGGGCAGAGGCTGTGGCTATGCATTCAGGGTGGGAGAGTTTGAGGGAGGGAACTCTTGGCTCACTCATTGTCTACTAGTAGCGATTTGATTTCCACTGTATTTCCTGTATGGGGTGGAAAAACGAAAGATGAACGTACTTGTTACAGTGGTTTACGGACATGCTACTGCAGAATATCTTGGGAGAAGGAAAACCGTGTCCAGAAAGAGAATATCCATCTTTGGACCAAGGGCAGCCCTCCCATTGAGCACGTTCCCACCTCCTCAGGCCTCTGACTTATTTTGGCTGCAGAAGCCATGGGAGGGAAAGAGCCTGGTCAGGCAGGAGGATGCAGGAGAAAGAGCAGGTGGATGGCCAGGGCCACGGGCATGTCCTCAGTGGCCAGGAAGAGCGCGTTCATTCCGCAGAGCTCCACCTTGTGGGGAGGGCAGTGAACACCTCTCACTGCTCACCTCTGGCAGCTTTGCTCCTAACTTCCTAATGTGTCCTCGGACCCACTGGCCCTGGGCTCTGACTTGAGGTACTTTGTCATGGTCTGGTAGTCCCTCTGAGCTGGTAGGATGGCTTTTTCTCTTCCAGGCTGAGGTAGCCCAGCTGCAAGAGCAGGTAGCCCTGAAGGATGCAGAAATTGAGCGTCTGCACAGTCAGCTCTCCCGGACTGCAGCTCTGCACAATGACCATGCAGAGAAAGGTAACTGGGCTGACTGTGACCGAATGCAGTTTGCCCTTTGGCCCTGGGCCCTCTCTTATAAGTGGGCATGTGTGTCTCTGGGTGTGTGTACTGCTGTGTGAGGAGGCATGAAATGTGCACGTACATGTGTGTGTGTGTGTTCGTGTGTGCACGCATGGGCCTGTAAAGCCCAGCTCTGTTGTGGAATCATTACCATGAACCCCTCCCCTGTTCAGAGGACTCAGTGGAATCATTACCATGAACCCCTCCCCTGTTCGGAGGACTCAGTGGAATCATTACCATGAACCCCTCCCCTGTCCGGAGGACTCAGCTCTGAAGGCTTTTCTCAGATGCACTCTGACCATTGAAGCTCTCTGTGCAGCTGCCTCTGGGGCTTTTACTCTTTCCCTTAATTGAAAGGACTTGTCTTTGTGTTATTACCAAAGAAGAGGCTTTAGCAATTCACTCAGTTGTTGAATGGAGCCCTGGCTGGTACTCACATAAGAGCCTGAGGTTACAGAAACAGATTCGTTATTTCCCATCCTTTGGATCTCAACTTAAATGTTACCTCTGAGGAAGACCTTTCCTGGCCACCCTACCTCAACTAGGTGCCCCCGTTTTTCTCAAGCTCAGCACTCTTTTTCTTTCATAGTACTTACTGTAATTGATCAGTGTTGTATTTTGTGAGGTCTTACATAGACTGTCATCCTCCTTCTGGGGCAGTGACTGTCTCTCTCTTATTTGAGACCATATCCACAGAGCTTCACATGGCATTCAGCCCATGGCTCCTAAGAAATATTTATTGAATAAGTGAAAGGATGGTGAATGGTCCCTGAGGAGTTCAAGTCTTGCTGATTAAAAATAGAGACTAAATCCTCAAGTATTCTTAATGCGTATTTAATATTTACAGCTATTTGCCTTATACACAAAATGATCACACACCCTCCAGCTTCTCCTCTGGCCCCCAGGCTACAGAGCAGTGCTGGGGAGCCCTGTGAACTAGCCCCACTACAGTTGCAGCTGGGCCTCGGCACCAGCACCGCTTAGCTTGGATCCCTGGCGGGGGTGGGGAAGCTGTGCAGCCCTGAAACAATGGCTTAGGCGGAAGGAGGAAATTAGTGACCCATGTGCTCATCCCTCCGCCAGCCTTTCTCTTGTCTTCTCAAGCCACTGAGTATGTCACCTACTTGCCATGGCTTAATGTGGAGACCGGAGACCCCTGAGATACTCTAGACTGTCTGTGATGCTAAACTTGCATAAAGAGCTCCCCAGGCCCTGACTTGTGGGCCAGGCAGGCTTCCCCTGCACTCCGTGCTTCCCCACAGGCCTCACCTTCCAGGCCCCACCGCATTCCATCCCCGGCGCCTCCTGGAGCTGGTGCTCGGGGCCTTGCTCTGGCTGCGGCCTGCCCAAGGCATCGAGGTTTGCCAGCCTTCGTCTGGAGCTTACAGCCCTCCCCTCCACAGACTGGGTTGCCAAGCTGATCTTTAGCCGTCAAGAGCCTAAGATCGTGAACAGCACTCTGCACCTCCCTCTGAAGCTGAATCCCTACAACTAGTTACACAAAGTCCTAAATCCATTCTTCCTATTCTTGCCGGATGTAGCAAGCATCCCGAAAGGAGATGGGGTGACTATATATATTTTTGTCCCCTTGTCTGCTGTAGTTCTCTTACGTAGACATCCCTATTCTCTGTAGTACCCAATTTGGGGACGGCTATAGGGCTTTGCTTGGAAAAACTAGCTATGTGTTAATTCTTAGACCTCCACATATTGGGCAGAAAGACCCCCAGCTCCTTTAGGCTTTAGCCTTTGACCTGGCTCTCCAGACTAGTTTGGGAAGAATTCGAGAGAGTCTCTTGGGTCCAAGGTGAGAGAAGGCAATGTGTTGTCCACCACAGACTTACAAAGATCCCTTGGCCCATAGAGAAATTCTGTAGGCTTATGATGAACGAAGATTGCTTTCCTTAACAGTAGCGTTTGTTTTAACATACTTATAGATCCAGCTAAACACTGTTAGTCGATTCCGACTGTGACCTTCTAAATTGAGCCAAGTACCTGACTCTTGTTTACATAATCATTCTTGCCCTGTCTCTGTTCAGCTATAGGCTTCCTTTTTTTTCTCATTTTAAATTCTCTTCTGCTACAATCCACGGGACAGTGTGATTCTCTCTAAAACTAGTTATCAGCCGCCCAGGTACATGCCTACTCAAGTCATAGAGGATAAATGTCTGTTTCCTTGTGGGATGTCAGTTGTGAAAGATTTGGGGGTTCCTCTGTGTCACCCTTGAATCAATGGCATTTTGTTTTTTCCCCACAAATGTCTCTAAAGAGAAGACAAAATAGTAGGTTCATTCGTTTAATAGTCCAACAGATATGTAATGAGACTGACTCTATGCCAGACACCATCATGGGCTCGTTAAAGAAGTAGGGAGCCACGTGTAACTTATTCATATGGAAAGTCTTAGCATCTTAGCAGGTGGGAATAGTTGTCTGCATTTACGTAAGTAAATCTTCCTATACCTAAATTCTTTTAGACCAAGAAATCCAACGTCTGAAAATGGGGATGGAAACTTTGCTTGTTGCCAATGAAGATAAGGTAAGATGGCCATGGAGCGGCCCTGCCCTTTCCCTGCTGACATTCCTGGTTCTGTTTGGTCCTATTAGTCTCTGATATTTTGGACAGGGCTGTGCCCATCAGACCACCGACTCAGGGAAGTGTCAGGAGAATGGCCTCTGCCTCCTAGACACATGGCTCAGCCACCTGTTTTTGGCTTTGATGCCTGGGAGCTTTGCCTAAATGGCATCTCCCAAAGGCAGAATAAAGCCATTCCTGTTCATGCAGGTGTAGGGAAAAAAAAAAACCACTGAGGTTACTGCCAATATCATAGCTGCTGCTCAGACTACTAGCAAAACTCAAGAACGGTTCACCAGTCTCCCACGTTCATGATCTGGTGATAGACCCATCGTAACTGGTGATGCATAATCATAAAATAGCCACCTCCGTAACTAGAGAGCACCTGTCTGGCGAAAACATCAGCTCTAAGGATCACAGCCCTGCATATTACAGACGAGGAAACATACTCAAAGTGCTAATGTAGGTTTGCCCAAGGTCAGGTAACAGTAGATAGCAGAGCCAGGGTCATACCCAAGTTTATCTAGCTCTGAAATCTGTGTGGCCTCCCCAAGTCCCCAGCCTTTGCTGAAAGAAATGATCTCCTCTGGGAATTTCCTCTATTGCGTAAGGAATCTCAGCCTCCTACGGAGCAAGTGAGAGTTTTGAGAGAAATACGACAGCTTTATTTTAGTCTTTTTTTTTTTTTTTTTTCACATAGCTGCAGAGGACAATACTCGGACTAGGAGGCAGATTTCAATGGCTATGTCAGGAGGGTAGGAAGACAATGAGTTTCCTGCTTCGGGAAATGTTTGAGCCCCTCGAAGGCTGTATCGAACAGGGAGTGTTTTATGACTAGAGATTGGACTCGTAGCCTTCAGGTAGAGGCAAGAGTGCTTGCAGCTGCTCAGGAGGTAGACCACTGAGAACCCAGGGCCTGGACACTGTGTTTCCCTTTGGAATATTCTATGGCTTCCACATAGCATTTCTTCTCAGTGTGCCCAGAACACAGCCAGGGCCCCCAGATGAAATCGCCAGGTGCCAGTGGTGTTGTTTACATAGAAATCTGTCTTGTCCTGTGACAGGACCGTCGGATAGAGGAGCTTACTGGGCTGTTAAACCAGTACCGAAGGGTGAAGGAGATCGTGATGGCGACTCAAGGTAAGAGCAAGGGGGAGCTTTGCCATTTTCTCCCCCACATATCCCATCTCTACGGTGTTAAATCCAGGGGCAGACCTGCCAGAAGAGTCCTCATCTTCATTTGGAGAAATGCTCTGCTGGAGAATGGAGCTGGTTAGACTGCCCTGGGTGGGGGGACACTGGCAGCCATTGCTTGCCAGAAGTTGTGGCAAATGGCAGAGTCAGTTCAGAGCTTCCAGGAGCTACCCAGATCGCCAAGGAAAGACAGCCTTCAACTCGAGCCATTGGCGATCCCTACCCTTGGAAGATCTACGCATCTGCCCGGGACACCTCTTAGAGGCAGTGAGGGCAGTCAAACCTGGATCCGAAGGCAGCTTAATACCCTCGTTGGGGATTAGAGCCTCCCCACCTCCTGGAGAATCTAAAAGCTTCCCCAGCAGACGCCAGGACACTTGGGGAACCTTCTTTGAGTTGCCGGGTACCTGGGTTCCCATAGGAAGTCACAGCGCAGTGAGAGCTGTTTGTGTTGCCCTGAAGAATCTTCTGAATCACACTTTTAATGTCCCTTTATGTTTTTCTTTGTCTTTTTTTTTATATAAATTTATTTATTTTTGGCTGCGTTGGGTCTTCGTTGCTGCACGTGGGCTTTCTCTAGTTGCGGTGAGCGGGGGCTACTCTTCGTTGCGGTGCGCGGGCTTCTCATTGCGGTGGCTTCTCTTGTTGCAGAGCACGGGCTCTAGGCACACAGGCTTCAGTAGTTGTGGCTCGCAGGCTCTAGAGCACAGGCTCAGTAGTCGTGGCGCACGGGCTTCTCATTGCGGTGGCTTCTCTTGTTGCGGAGCACGGGCTTTAGGCACACAGGCTTCAGTAGTTGTGGCTCGCGGGCTCTAGAGCGCAGGCTCAGTAGTTGCGGCGCACAGGCTTAGTTGCTCCACGGCACGTTGGATCTTCCCGGACCAGGGCTCGAACCCGTGTCCCCTGCATTGGCAGGCAGATTCCTAACCACTGCGCCACCAGGGAAGTCCCTCTTTGTCCTTCTTAATGAAGGAGAAACAACGTTAGGATTTTGTGGTACAATTATAGGTTTCTAAACAAGTCACGTGGTAGTAATTATCTCTTCTGCGTTAATGCTTCCAGGGCCTTCAGAAAGAACTCTCTCAATCAATGAGGAAGAACTGGAGGGAGGTTTCAGAAACTGGAACACTGCAAATAAAGGCCCTGAAGAACTTTTTAAACCAGAGGTACTGTGTTTCCGGTCATGATGTGGGGTTTCAGCAGGCCCCAGGAGCTTACCCTGGGCCTGGGGGAGGATCTAATCAGGTACCAGTCAGGTACGTCTCAGGTGTAAATCTTGACAGGTAGAAAAAATTAAATCAATGGAGTTAGCCCCCGAGGCCTTAGGAAGAGCATTGAGGCTGGGGAGCAGTCAGGGCCTGTGTTCCCGTTGGGAGGGACAGCATAGTGGATACTGGACTTCCCAGGATAGGAATTTTCTTTTTTAACTGGTTTCCTTGCTTATTTTTGCCTTTCCTCTCTGGACTATAAGACCAAAGGTGTTCTTTGTTTTATTTACCACTGTCTCTCCAGGATCTGCAGTGATGCCTGGTACCCAGTAGGATTCAACAGATATTTGTTGAATGAATGAATGAATGCATATTGCCCATTTGGAGGGATAGCTGAACTTTTGAAGTGATACATTCCTATTTCACAGACAACGTCCCGCCCCTATAACCAGCATACAGATCTCCTGTTTTCTTGTTTAAAATTTGATCCAGTTCTATGAACCTCTCTGGACTTAGTCTAGATACACGTAGGCAAATTAACTCATAGATACAGATCTCAGATGAAGAAGGGGTTTCAGCCCAGGATCCAAAAGGTTCTTGAAACTCCAGAACAGTCACAATTAAAAGGATCTTAGCGGTCCAACTCAACCCTTTTAATTAAGGGAGGAGCAAAAGTGTCACCCGGTGGCCCAGTTATGTAGTCAGAGCAGGCATCCCAGATTGCTGGCAATGATAGCAGTAACTGATGCCCAGTACCTCTGGGTGGTCCCTGTGATGAGCACTGCACGTGACTCACCTCACTTACTCCTCATGACCCCTTTGGGATTCTTCTTTTATTGTGTTGCAGCTGAGGCTCAGAGAAGGTAAGTAATCTGCTCTAGGTCACCCAGCAAGTAGATGGCAGAACTTGGACTTGAACACAAAAGCCCAGGCGTTTAACAACTTACGTACTATGATGCCAGGGTTCTTTCTATGGTAGACCGAAAAGATACTGGGATCTAGAGAATAGAGGCAGCCCTTGCAGACAGGAAAGACATCAAATTGTGTCCTTATCTTCCACCAGATTAGCTCACGTTCATTCCACCCTTGATACTCTTGCCTTTCTGGCCTCCTTGCTAAGCTCATTCTCATTTCTCAAGATTCAGCTCAAGTGTTCTCCCCTCTGAAGCCTTCCTAACCTTCCCACCAACAAGAAGGGTCCTCTCCCTCCCCTTTATCCCCATATTATATTATAGGTGTTGGTATCAGAGGGACATGTTGCATTGCTCTTTCATCCTAATTAACTTATCTGACTCCCTGATGTGGGCAGTGCTCGCCCCACACCCAGCACAGGGCCTGGCAGGCAGTAGATGTTGCTCGTGTTTGTTGATTGACTATGAATTACAGGGTTGCTCATTGCCAGCAGAAATCGACTCCGGCTGACCTTTGCCAACAAGGAATGTTTTTAAGAGGGTGTGCAGTGGCTCACTGAATGAAAGGAAAAGCTGGAGAACCAAGCTCAGAAAAGGCAGGGGCAGCCAGGGATTCAGGTCTCAGGACTGACTTGTCAGGACTCTACTGCTAGAATGTGAACTTAGGCCCTGGAAGGAGAGGCAGGTTGGCCAAGGTTGTTCAGTATACCTTCCTCCTTGTCTACAGCCATACCACCCTGAACGCACCTGATCTTTTCCAGTATGTCTTCCTTTTTGGCATCTTAAAAAAGCAAGGCATTGGGATTGATGTAGCCACCAGGGGTGGAGATGTAACTCCCCAAGAGGAATTGTCCAAAAAAGGGGAAAGGATGGTGGGTAGTCTCCAAACAGTATCTGTCCAGTGACTCTTCCGTTTCCGGTGCAGGTATCTCCAAGAGGTAGCTCTCCCACGGCGGGACCACCCCCGCTACCGCAGAAATCACTGGAAACCAGGTAGGAGGCCCAAGCACCTCCGTGGAGCCACTGTGCTCTCAGGCCCCTCTCGGGGCTCCAGACGTGGCAGTGAGCACAGCCACCGTGTCCTGAGCACACCTGTCCTCCCTTTTGGCCCCAGCAGTGGTCACAAGGGCCAAAATGCTGGAGCAGTCATGAACCTTGCCTACCTGCCCTGGCCACAGAGGCCTTCCCTTCCCACAGGCTGAAGGTCCGGGTCGTTGTCACTGAGAAAAGACTTGGCCAGGGGTTGGGGCCTCAGAGAAGAGGTGGCTGCACCTCATCTGTGCCCCCTAGTGGTTCTTCAGAGCATCTTGTGAGGTGCACCTGTCATTCCCGTCAGCCCCTCTGGAACACCCTTCCTGCTCTCAGGGAATCTAGGCCTGTGACACTCCACATTCTCCAGGGAGGACCATTTCTCCTCACAGGGAAGTTGGTCCAGTTGCTTTGGGGAAGCTTCACGTAGCAATGAGCGTATCACAGGCTGGCCTGTGGGGTCACTTCGCTGCCCCCTGACTGATTCTCTCGAAAATGAACCTATCTCCAGTTCCCTACATCAGCTCTTTAGAACACATTTCCAGGTTACGGGGATCTGGAGCTTTGCTGCCGAGAGCAGGCTGCCTTTCGGCCAGGGTATCTGGGGAAGACAGCCGCAAGCGTGGTGGGAGCTTCCCCAGATGGGCACTGAGTCTTCAGAGGTCTGAAGCCTGTGCACTCTGACCCCCATTTCCAGAAAGCCATTGTTCCCTGAGCCTTTAGCCTCAGGGGAAAACGGCAGCGTCAAGGAGGGCCACTGGCCAGTCCTTAGTTTTGCAGAAGAAATTTGGTTGATGAGTTCACTCAGAAGTCGGCACTGAGTGACTCACACTGACCAGACTCACAAGAGACGAATGTACTAACAGATGCTGCTTTATTCATATGAACTGAGAAATATCACTGCCCAGGAGAACTGACACGAGGTAACCCTGTCGCCTCTTCTCTATCCAGTTGGTGCCCTTCTCTGCACAATAGCCCCGGAGAAAGCAAATTCCTCTGAGCAGACTGCTCAGGGCATACAGAGACAGAGCAGAGGGTTGAAGGATCCTAGCAGGTGACACTTTGGAGCTGTGGCTGATGCGCTCGTCTCCACTCCAAGACGGCACCACCTCCCTCGCTGAGTTACTGTCAGACTCACAGACAAGGCAGTATTGGCTTTTGACTCCACAGACGTTGGCCTTCTTTTATGACCACACAACAGCCAGCTCCCACCGATGCCACTGAATTGCGTGTATTCGGGGTTTTTGAGGAATGCCAAGGACTTTTGATTTGGATTTCGGTGATGCTCTCATGCCCTCACCAAGACATTGTCAGACCAGGCCATCCCCAAAGCGGGCCGTTCTCATCTTACGTGTAATGGTTATGATGAGAGGGTGTTTTGTTTTGTTTCCTGCTCTTGACCCTAAGCCCAAGATAGACTACCAGTTAAACATTTGAAGTGTCCTCTGCGCGAATGATACCACGTACCTCCTTCTCCAGTTACTGTTTCCTTATTGACTTTCTTTTGTGTTTTTCCAGGGCTCAGAAAAAACTCTCCTGTAGTCTCGAAGACCTGAGAAGTGAATCCGTGGATAAGGTCAGCCCATCAGTCTATCCATAAAGATGTCTGAGTTATTTCTTTGTGCCCAGCACAGTGCTGGGATACACAGGCTGGGTGCTGTCCCTACCTCATGGAAGCTTTTATCAAGTTTGCTGGGCAGGCAGGAATTACAGGAACATTCTGAGAAAATGTTCAGGTGCAGTGCAGCCCAAGGCATCCTAGAGGCAGGGCAAGTCAGGACACGCTACCTAGAGCTGGTGAGAGAAGACGCTGAGGTGGGCATGGGCAGGGGAAACGGTGCGGAGTAGGAGGGAGTAAGGTCAGAGCCACGAGTCAGATGGAGCCAGAGGACATCTCGAATCCGGGCCCTGTTTCTCCAGGGCACTGGGGAGTATTGCACAGATTTTGAATGAGGACATAATGTGGATAAAGGAGACCCCGGGGGTGGGTTATGGGATAAAGTAGATTGGAGAGGAAGCTTTTTAAGGAGTCTAGAAAGGCATGAGGAGGGCTTTGTGGCCCCTGACCAGGTGGGTAACCCCCATGCTGAAGGGGGGGGGTCACAGGCTCTTGAGCAGCAAGGTCATTGAAGATGCAGGGGTCCTGCCCTATAGACAACCTTCAGTGACCTTGCCGCATAGATCCCTCGATGTCCAGCAGTACGCCAGACTCCCTGGTGATACAGTAGAAAACCAGGAAGGATGGAGCTGGCAGTGGCTTTGCTCCCACGATCACGTGCCTCTCGCTCCCCCAGTCAGATTGCTGGCAGCTGCCCGGGGACATGTGTCCACGAGGTCGGACAGTGACCTGTGTTTCCTCCACGGATGGTGATGATCTGACATAAAGACGGGGAGGGAGGGGTGAGCCTGGCAGGTTCAGGCAGGCAGGTGGCCCTGAGTTGCTGTTGTGACTAACGCAGTTCTCCTTTTCTCCACATAACTGAAATCCTCCTTGCCATCCCATAGTGCGTCGGTGGGAACCAGCTGTCCCCAGTGGTAGAACCCAAGGTACATTAACCGCATGTCCCTTTCGTCTATGTGAGCTTGTGCTGTTTGCCAGAGGCTTTTCACTTAGCAAGTTACAGCTCTGGTAACCTTACGATATGTTAACCGTAAGGGGTATCAGGGTGACAGGAACGACGAAACTTCCTCTCCTGTTTTCTTTTTATGTGTACCCAGCTGGATCCTGTGCTTTCATCTCTGTTATCTGTGGGATAGGATTTCTTATCATCTCCTCCATCTTATAGGCTCTAATAATTCCTCTTTGACAGGGCAAAGTAGATCTGATCTCTGGGAAGGGGGATATTATGATCTCAGCACACAAGTAGAGGAATATGACAGCTCTCATCCTTTCTGCGCTGTTAAGTCATGATTTAAAAAACCCAGGAGCACTTCCCTGGTGGCACAGTGGTTAAGAATCCGCCTGCCAATGGAGGGGACACGGGTCCGAGAAGATCCCACATGCCGCGGAGCAGCTAAGTCCATGCGCCACAGCTACTGAGCCTGCGCTCTAGAGCCTGCGAGCCACAACTACTGAGCCCACGAGCCGCGACTGCTGAGGCTCACGCGCCTAGAGCCAGTGCTCTGCAACAAGAGAAGCCACTGCAATGAGAAGCCCATGCACCGCAACGAAGAGTAGCCCCCACTCGCCGCAACTAGAGAAAGCCTGCACACAGCGATGAAGACCCAACGCAGCCAAAGATAAATAAATAATTAAAACAAACAAAAAACCCAGGAGCACACTCGGCCTCAGGTGCAAGGGTCCTTCTGTAGCGTCCCCTCACGTGGGTGTCTGGCCCTTGCTTTCTGTGACCGAGAGCTCATGACATTGTAAGACACCCCCTGTGTCCTCTTCCAGCTCTGTCTGTTAGATCCATCTCTGGGCTTCCCTAGAAGGAGCATCTGCGGCTCGGCTCTCGCTGTGGAGTCCGTGGAGGGAGTCCGTCTCCCCTGCTCCTCACAGCTCTAGAACTGGAGTCCCTCAGCCCCTCTCTGAGCTACCATCTTCTCATGTGCACAGGGCAGAAGCCCTTCAAGTTCCTATTCTGTCACCTCAGGACGAGCACTTGGTCCTCGCTGCGTGCTCTGCGTCGTGCCCTGGGCCACACTTGAGCCTAATATTGTAGATAGGGTCTGTCCCGTGCACGCCTCGCTCCAGGGACTGAGGTCGTGGTTACTGCTGTCGCTCCAGACCCTGGGCAAAGGGTAATTCTCTGCGCCTCTGTTTAGTTCTGTCCTCGTGTGCTCGGCCAGAGGCAGGAATTGTTATTCTTTATTTAGAAACAATAAAACTGAGGTTCTGAGGGCCTCAAGAGAGTGAGGGTTTGGCCCGAGTCGGTCTGACTCACAGCCTGGGGTCTTCCTGCTCAGGTGTGCTACCTCTGTGCTGTTTTAGGGCAGCTGGGTCACCAGCCACATCTGCTCCTTGCCTGAGATTTCCATCCCCCACTCCTGTAACCAGGGTTATTCTTCTCAGAGACTGCAGGCGCAGAACCGACCTCGAGCATTTGTTTCCTCTGTGTCGTGTTCCGATGTTGCACCCCTTTCTCCAGCAGTGAGTCCTTCCTTCCTAGCTTCTCTGCTTGGCCGAGTAGAGCTGAGAGAGGGCCCTTTCTGTTGCCCTTGGTTCCTTTCATCGTCTTTCTCACAGGTCTGGGCCGCCTTTGAAGCCCGCCTTACAGGAGGCTCTGCCCTCTTTATATCTCAGTTCCTCAGCGACCTCCCAAGGCAGCCCACGTGGGAGGCCTTGGTTGTCTCTGCCCTGTCTTAGGGAGGCCTGTGTGATGATGCAACAGGAGATCTGTTCCTGAGCCCTCCCCACTCCCACATCTCCTGTATAATATGGAGCTGGGAGGCATGCCCTTCAGTTCTCGAAACTTTTTGAATTCTGCCTTCCCCACCATCAGTGGTTCCCGGGCCTGACTGTGCGTCAGAGTAATCTGAGATTCATTTTAAAAACAGACTCCCGGGGTGCCCTGCCAGAGGGGCTGATTCATGGGTGCGGTTGGGCCCTGGGAATTTATATTTACAAGTGTCCCAGGTGATTATGAAGCAGCCCTTGCATGGGCTAGTATTTGGAAACTGTTGGTCTTGACCACAGGTCTGATCAGGTTCAACCTGTACCTCATGGGTCATCATGAATTTAAAAATTGTGTGCTCTCCATCTTTTAAGGTTCCAATTATTTCCACTTCTCCAGCCAGTTCCTTCAGAATCCTTTGAAAATTTAGCCCACTATTCTCGTATCTCTCCTTTCTGAGATGATTTATAGAGGATTAGTATTCAGTGTTCAATGACTGAATTGGATTTCAAACAATTTCCAGGACATGCCTTTATAAGCAAACTGAATTCAGAAATTTATTGGGCACTTGGCTTTTAACTAAATGAAACTTCAAAAGATGTCACCGCTGGGGACTTCCCTGGTGGCGCAGTGGTTAAGAACCTGCCTGCTAATGCAGGGGACACAGGTTAGAGCCCTGGTCCAGGAAGATCCCACATGGCACGGAGCAACTAAGCCCATGTGCCACAGCTACTGCAGCCCGTGTGCCTAGAGCCCGTGCTCCGCAACTAAGAGAGGCCACCGCAGTGAGAAGCCCATGCACCTCAACAAAGAGTCGCCCTCGCTCGCGGCAACTAGAGAAAGCCTGCACACAGCAATGAAGACCCAACACAGCCAAATAAATAAATAGATTTATAACAAAACAAAAAAAAAATGTTACTATCACTGAAGTGTCCCATTACTTTACTGACTTGTCAGGTCTGAAATCGGTTTTGTCTTTCTTCTTTTCTACTTTTCTTCTGGGTCCGGTTAAGTGATCCACAGTTGATTACCTTGGTAACGTTGCTTTGATTTCTCTTTTCTTTTCACTCAAATGCATTCCGCTGTGTTTCCCTCAGGTTTGTGGATGTAGGGCGGCCCATTAAATCCTTCTTGACCAAACAAGCGCCATTCTTCTTCCCCTTTAAATCAACCTGTTTCTTTGCGACCCTTTCTGTGGCTGGGGTCCGAGCACGGGGCCCACTGCGCTGGGGCTGAACCTCATGCAGACTGTGGTCCTAAGTTCCTGGGGAGCTCCGTGCTGGCATGTAGCCCTCTGGCCCGCTTCTGCTCACACCTCCCCCCGAGTGTGTGCTTACCGTCTTGCTTCACCTTAACCTGGTATTTTTCAAAATAACTATCGTCGTAATATATAAGTAATAGATAATATTATATATTCTAAACATACAATAAAGCAATAGGTATAGCTTTTTTTTTTTTTTTTTTTTTTGCGGTACGCGGGCCTCTCACTGTTGTGGCCTCTCCCGTTGCGGAGCACAGGCTCCGGACGCGCAGGCTCAGCGGCCATGGCTCACGGGCCCAGCCGCTCCGTGGCATGTGGGATCTTCCCGGACCGGGTCACGAACCCGTGTTCCCTGCATCGGCAGGCGGACTCTCAACCACTGCGCCACCAGGGAAGCCCATAGGTATAGCTTTTATTGGAATTCTGGTCTGTGTATTCAATAGAGCTTGAAGGGTAGTTCACAGCTGTTGATTCCTTGAGCCTCTGAGCGCGAGGCCAAATGGCAAAGGCTTCCCTTTCTGCTTGGACTCGGCTGCAGTCAGCCCTGGATGTGGGCTCAACTCTGTCCCCATCTCACTGTGTGGCTTTGGGCAAGTTTCTTTCCTTCTCAGAGCTCTGATCCCATTTCCTGGCCTGGAATAATCAATCTTTTTGAGGGGTCTTTGAGTCGGCCTAAGTTTAAAAATGGCTCTTAGAGAACGGGGAGTTGTTTCTGCATCCAGAGATTTCCTAGCTGGGTTTGAGGCTCTCTCTCCCTCTCCTTCCAATAGGACGGCCCTTTCCTGGTGGAGCACAAGTACCCCACGTTACCTGGGAAGCTTTCAGGAGCCACGCCCAACGGAGAGGCTGCCGGATCTTCTCCCACGGCCTCCCCACATGACCCTGCGGGGAGCGGCCTGCTGAGGCTGAGTGAGTGTCCAGGCGCCAGGCCTGGCGGCCTCTGGAGCCTCAGCCTTGGCATTTCCACTGTTGCACGAGGTCCCTGCACCCCCCGCCATAGCCCACAATTGGAGAACGGGGGTGGGCATGGGTGGATGGGACAAGTCCTACCTCAGGGTGGTCCCACGTCCAGAGGTGATTGCTGTCTGTCTGGGCACAAGGTTTCCTGCCAGAAACACATCAGAGCCCAAGAGAACCAGGGTGTGTACCCACCTTCTTTCCACCTGCAATTACTCTACCCCCATTGCCCCTCCTCCTGTCTTCCTTCTCTCTCCACCTGCTCCTGGCCTTCCCGTCATTCCTCTTTCCCTCCCGCTTAGACACCCCCTCCCCCCTCCCCCCTCCCTGGCCCTGCCCCCTCCTCCTCTGTTCTCCTGATCTCTTTCCTGTCTCCGCCTTCCTCTCTGCAGCCTCCCTATTACCCATAGGATGATATCATGTGCTCTTCCAAGGGAGAGCGTTTCCTTAGAGAAGTGGAATCTGGCCACTGGGCAAGGCTGTCAGTCCCCAGGTATCCTTCTGGCGCTTAGCATCTGAAATGGAGGTCTCTGCACAGTAGGCTGGATCTCCCCAATAGCAGCAGCAGATCAGAGGGGCCCAGAGAGGAACATTCTGGTCCCGACAGAGCCGTCCCTCCCCCTGACTCTTACTACCTGGCGCAGGAGGGCTTGGCTTCCCCACTAAGGGTTGGCTTCTGCCCTTGGCCAGTCCTGCCTTTGGCTGCAGGAACTCCAGATGAGTATGTCCTAGCGACACTCAGACTGTGGACTTCCTGCAGCTTCGGACCATTCTCGTCTGATCTAAGTGAGCTCTGGCACCCACACAGGAGCAGTGGGCGGCCCGGTGTATTCAGTCCCCGCTGCCCCCCACCCCTCCCCGCACGTGGATGCCTCACCGGCCAGGAAGCGACACCAGGAGCATTCAGTCCCCTCACATAGGGCTGCCTCTCGCCGCCATGACCCTGTAGGTCAGGCTCAGTCACCATTCACCCCCATCCTTCCTCGTGGGATTAGTTTTCTTTCTGTTTGAGTTTTTCCCTCTTGCTTGATGACTCTTGTTTATTTCTTTGCTTCCCTATAACTCTGTTGGGCTGGACTTTGGCCTCTCTTGCTTCTTCGTGTGGCTTCTCTGCTTCTTGGTTGGCTGGAGATCGTGGCCGGAGTGTCAGTGCCCCCGTGCTAGGTACTGTACCCTTCCAGGTGAGGTGGGGAGCGAGATTCCCTTATTTCCCTCCGGTGACACCCTCCCTTTCCTGAACATTCAGCCACGTCCCCCTCCTGCTCGTATTCCCGCATCTCCCTGGGGGAAAAGAGAGGAAGCTCCTTGCTGGAGTTACCCTGCAAGTTTTGGGACCCCGAACTCTTAGGATTTGAAGACATTCGCTCACCCAGATTTGAAACCTTAAGCTCGCTAACTCCCCAGAGAGAAAACCTGGAGTGTGCCTGAGCCCCTGCTGGTCTCTGAGATCTTGCTGTAACGCTCTGTCCTAAAGGCAAGAGCTGGGCAGACTTCCTGACTCCCACTGAAGGGCTGGCCCAGGCTCAGGGAAAAGGTTTACAGAGGTCACGTTCCTTCTTGTCATTCACATATCATTCCATTCTTTCAATCTCAGGAGACACAGAAAGTGGTTGGGATGACACTGCTGTGGTCAATGACCTCTCACCCACGTCCTCGGGCACCGAGTCCAGCCCCCAGTCTCCCCTGACACCAGATGGTAAACGGAGCCCCAAAGGCATCAAGAAATTCTGGGGAAAGTAAGTCGGTGATGACCGTAATTATATTGCTTGGAATTAATATTGTCCCCGAGTGGGCAAAACACCTCCATAACCCCCTGTATAATTAGATGCTGGGACAGCAGTGAGTACAGAGTGGTTATGTGTAGAGGAGACCTTGAATCACTTTTTAGGGCCCAGAGAAGGAGAACTATGAAAGGAGCCCATTAAATACAGCCGGTTGCCTTACGTGTCATTCATTTTAGGCATCCCTCCATCCCACAGACCCTAAGCACATCCTCTGAAGCTTACATATGTGCTTTGGAGAGGTACATGGGTGAGACCAGTTTCTTCCTCTGCAGGACTCAGTCTGTGTCTTAAGAAATCTTTGAGGACAGAAAGATGAGTCCTTTCTGGCCCTGCTGACTGAGTCTGTGAAATGAGACAGAAACTGGGGCCTCCTCTCAGGCAGCAACCTGCACTTTGACCCCCGGGGAGAGGGGTCCAATCCCAGAGGCAGGGTTAGAATTGAGGCTGGGTCTGACCAAGGAGCTGTCACAGGTCTTGATGCTGGACCTCTGGGGAAGCACCGGGAGGCAGGGGTTCCATCCCAGTGTCCCAGAGCCCCGGTTATGGCTCGCGAGGCCCTGTGTGGGAGGCGTGCACTGACTACAGGCTTTCAGCCTGCCCTCTGACGTCTCCACGGATTCCTCTCCACACAGAATCCGAAGAACTCAGTCAGGAAATTTCAACACCGATGCCCCAGGGGTGGCCGAGTTTCGACGAGGTGGATTCCGGGCAACTGCAGGGCCAAGACTCTCTAGAACCAGAGACCCCAAGGGTCAGAAAAGGTAAGGCTCCCTCCAGTCCATCTCCAAGGAACTGTGTAAAATCCTGGCTACGCTGGAGTGGGAAGGGGGGCTGGATGCCCCAGAGCCTCCAGAGGTGGAAGGCAGGACCCCCTAGTGCAGAGCTTCTCGACCTTTCCCCTTTGACATGTGTGGACATTGCTCACGCTTATTTATAGGTGCACGGAGGTAAAGGCAGAGGCTGCCTATAGCCAGAGGTGCTGGGGCGGGAGGTGGCGCTCCGGCCCCCCTGAGAACCCCAGCAGCTCTGCACATCTGCAGTCCACTCTGGGCAGGGCCTTGGCGTGATAGGTTGAGAGGCTCCGCTGCAGCCATTCAGAGCACAGATGCTGGAGTCAGAGACCTGGGTTGGAATCTCTGCTTAACCACTTCCTGGCAGTGAGCCCTAAACCAGGTTCTGTAACTTCTCTATACCTCAGTTTTCTGATCTCTGAAGTGGGACGGGGGCGGGGGGGGGGGGGGTCAAAAACAAGTATTTGTGAAAGTTCTTGTGAGGATTATGTGAGCTTCTGCACATCTAACCCTGGTATCAGCTGTCTGCCATTCAAGCGTCACCTTCCCCTGGGAGACTGGGGAGAGAACACCTGCCTCTGGGGCGGGGTCCCCTCCTTCCACACAGACCTCTACGGAAGGGTGCCGGGGTGCCAGTCTGCCCTTATCCCTCATGACACACTGTACCACACCTTCCTGAAGGCTTAACTGGAGGGAGTTGTAAAGGGATCAAAATGGGAAGTTTTGCATGACTGTTCCCATCACGCCCTAATGAAAAAGCATCAGTAATGAAACTTTCCCAGAGATCGCCCTGGTGGACCCCCTCCAGTCACCAGCTTTACCCCCCTTCCTCAGATCTCCCTGCTCTGAGAAGAGTGCCTCCCTTCCAACTTGCCCAAGTGAATCTTTACTCCTACGTCTCAGGGAAACCCTTTTCTGCACCCTCTGCTCCCATCAGATGATCCCCACGATACATTGTCTCCAGCAGAATATCTCCTAAAGTCTGAGTTGCTCAGCCAAGGTCAGGCTTCTGGGGGCCTCCCTCAGGATTGGACTGTGACATTTTAAATCTAACCAAACAGTGAAAAGTTTAACCCTCTTAAATTTCATCCCCCTAAGACTGCCATATACCAGTGCCAAGTGCAGGTAATTACTGAGTAAGATGTGCACCACTCACGTGTTAATTCTAGAAACCATACAGTCTAGATCCCAGTGAAGGGGGAAGAATGCTTCCCTGGTGCAGCGTATCGTTCACAGACCTGACCCCTGCCAAAGAAGGGAGTACACACGGATGCACCCCGCTTCGCCACTCAGCTCCCCTCAGGCCCCTAGGCTTGGCCGGGAGCTCCCAGGCACACACTCAGGACCTTTGGCGAGCATCCCCAGATCCATCCTCCAGGTGCCTTACAGAGAAACCTGAGGATGCGTAGCCGCCTGGTTCTGCTCCTCCAGGATCGTGGAGTGGTGTTTACGCTTCTAGTCGCAAAAAATGCTCAGTAAACGTTAGCTTTTAGAGGCTAGAGAATCTAAGCACATGGTCTGAGAAGGCAGAGACCAACTCGGAGACATGAGAAAATGAGCCAAAGGAAGCATATGCATGTAGTCCATGAAAAGAGAATTCTCATCTGCTTGGCAGTCTTCTGGCCTCAGGCTGAGTGTTTCTGATGGTTCTGAGATGAAGAAATAAAGCCACCAGAGCTTGAGTGATGGATTTTTGTTCCACTTCTGGCTTTTCTTTAGGAATGATTTTTTTTTTTTTTTTTTTTTGCGGTACGCGGGCCTCTCACTGTTGTGGCCCCTCCCGTTGCGGAGTACAGGCTCCGGACGCGCAGGCTCAGTGGCCACGGCTCACGGGCCCAGCCGCTCCGCGGCATGTGGGATCCTCCCGGACCGGGGCACGAACCCGCGTCCCCTGCATCGGCAGGTGGACTCTCAACCACTGCGCCACCAGGGAAGCCCTAGGAATGATTCTTGAAGGGGGAATCACTGGTCAGGGTGTAAAACTTTTCTAAGACCCTCAGGTATTTTTCCTTAGGGCCCATCCACCATCTTAGAAGTCCCTTTGGTATGGGGCAACCAGTGTAGGGAACCTTCTCTGCCGAAGGCGAAACTGCAGTTCAGCCACAGGGTTGCTTTGTTTGGGTGTCTTTGTGCTTTGTAAACAGTAGCAATGGATGACAAGGAGAATGGGAATGAAGGCCTGATGAGACTGTATGTTTATCACCACTCTGCTTACGGTAACAAAAATGAGTTTGCTGGTGGGAAGGAAAGGCTTTTATTACTCTTAAACAGAAATGTGATCTAATTATATGCTAATGTCCTCTGGTATTTATAGTGTGTAGATATTTAGGTATAGCCTTAAAAAAATTTTGTCACCAACATTCCTATAGGAAGTCTGTTGTTACTGAAAATCTCCAGCCCCAATCCGTTTTTTCCAGTGAAACAGTTGTTTTTTAATATAACACTTGATAATGACATTTCATAGGAACTCTCTCTCAGGTTATAAGAGTAAATTTTTTTATTTTTTCCCCATTTTGCTGATTTACGTTCTCATCGGCCCTGCTGTACAGTGAGTGCTTGCTGCACCTACAGCCTTGTCAGCATTGTTATTGCAGCTTTTGTTTAAAGTTCTAGTTTTATAGACCTCCAAAAATTACATTTTTATTATTTAGTTTACATGTTTGTTATCTTATTTCTTTTGTGAACTGTGTGCATTTTTGCCCATTTTTATTTAGTTATTAATATCTTTTATTTAGTATCTTTCTTATAGATTTCTATCTGTTCTCTACATGTTAAGATACTAAGCCACATCTAAAAGTTGTAACATTATTTTTTAGGTTTGTTGCAGAATTTTACTTTGATATATGAAATTTTCAGGTTTGTGTATAATGAAGTTCATCAACTTTTCCTTTGTGATTTCTTTCATTATTTTGTTTTAAAATTTTTTGCTGATTGTTTAAAAAACTGGTTTTAAACTATGAGTTTAAAAAAGTGATTTTTTAAAACTTTACAAGTTATCTATTTGGGGATTTATTTTGGTGTGTGGTGAGAGAGGTTTTTTTCCCCCAAGAGAAAGCAGAGTGTAATGTTGAAGTCTTGAAAGCCACATGGCCGGATCCCATCCTTGTGGAGGCGTTTTCTGAGTTTGTCTACAGCGTGTATTGCCCTTAGGGACTCTAGCTTATGAGGGGTCTCTGATCAGACTGCTTCCCTGCTTCAGGCCCCATTTTACTGCCTTTCTCCCATATTCACTGTCAGTGTCAGGTTTATCATGAATGTAAGGAAGCTTAAGCTTCAACGTCAGTTACTTGCCTAGACCCCTTCCGTGGTCCAGAGAGGGTCCAACCGATGTATTGACAAGGCCGTGTGTTTTGAAATATTTTCATAAGTAAGATATTTTAAACAGTTTTAAGACTGCTGACTCTTTTCCAACTTACCCTTGGTCTAATATCTTTGCCTGATATCAGACGATGCTGGAATACCCATGGGCATTTTTGGGATCTGGCTATGGGGAGGTTGAGTTGGGGATCCATTTAGTTTGGGTTTAATGGGATTATGTTTATGTGGCTTGCAGTCACTTCATGTCTGGTTTACTTAGGTTTAGTTAATTAGCTGTCCTACTATAAAAATGGCTTCCAATGTGCCAGTGTGCCCAGCATTACTGATACAAAGATGCAAAGTCAGAGATCTTGTACCAAAATGAACTTGTCCTCTGGCATTTGGTTTCAGAAGTATGGGGTAGTGGAAAAAGAAAGAACGTTTGAAATTTGCAAAACCAGAAGCCAGTCTGTGGAAATTCTTTCCAATCATCAGATTTGCTAAATCCTCAGCAGGAGATTCAGCTCTCTCAGATGCTTAGTCAAAACAGAAGTCCTCCCTTTTCAGAAATGCACTTACTAAGGAAATATATACACACAGTTGTAAGTGTACCCTGTGTTCTCCGCCTACCATGGGAATGGCCTATTTGATAAATCTCACATCATTTTAACTGCAATTTGGAGGGATGTTTTGGAACATGTCAATAAAACAAGTGGTTTGGCTGTATATGAAAGGTACTTTCTCTGTCATCTCTAAATTACTTAATAGCATGCTCAGCTGTGGCCCTGGAAAAGAGTATGGGAGACCCTGGCACTGACAGAACCCCAGGAGTTAGGGAAGCTGGGTCTGCTACTGTAGGAGCAGCACAGGCTTAGGAGAGCAGAGACCACTCACAAAGGGGGAAATGGGAAGACGATCGAGGGTAGAGGAGCATCAGAGCTCTAGGGTGTTATGAAAAGGTCTACAGGACAGAGGCTTTCAAATTACAGTCTCAAAAACACGTATTTCCCCTCAGAACTGAAATATCCCTCTGATACATAGAATATTTGTTTCCTTCCAATTCCCAGAAACCAGAAAATAAATGAAATTGAAAACTAATAGGATATGAAATAAAGGTGATAAAATGAGCATTGAAATTGAGAAACTATTCTGATAATTTTTTTAAAAATCCCAGATCAAACCAAAAGCAATAATTCACTAAGAGCAACAGATAAATTCCAAACAAAAATAGTAAACAGGTTCCTAGAGTGTTGTTCATATAAAGTGAATTATATGAACACATTGGCAAAAGATGAAAATTTCTTGCTTTTACATGATATACTGACATTGACCATGATGATGTTGCCTAATATGCAACAGCCACAAGGACATTAAGTAAATGTTATCAATTCAAAGAACAGAATATTTAAGATTAACACTAAAAAACTTGAACGCTGTGGAATTTTACAGCTCGCATCTAAAAGACAATTGATAGAGGTTTTCCTAAATTTGATGATTCTAAAAATGTATTTGACAATACCATTTATAAGTTGTGAAGCCAAAACTTAAAAAAACTATCAAAATAACAAAAGAATATTGGTCAGTCATGCTAGAAGAAAGATGGAAAGCTGCTCACAGAAAATATAGCCCCACCCCATCCACTCATTCAAACAACTGCAGATCGGATTTCCACCGGTTGAATCCGTGGATGTGGAACCCGCAAATACAGAGGGCTGAGTGAACTACGCCATGTTATATAAGGGACTTGAGCATCCCTGGGTTTTGGTGTCTACGGGGATCCCGGAACTAATCCCCTGGCAGATACAGAGGGACATCTGTTATAGAGTTGTTGACATATGATAAAGCAAAGAATACGCACCCCGAACGTGAAGGTCAAGTACTATAGAGGTATAGCTAGGAGTTAATTAATAAAAATATTATTTTTCTGGATTTCATGATCTTTTTCAGTTGGATTAGATTTGTAATTTTTTGTGATTTGTTTTCTTATTCTAAATAGTCATTTTGTTCCTAATTCCATATTCAAACGGTGTACTTTTCTTAGCGGGGCCCCCAAATTTTATAAGTTCCAGTTTTCACGAAGCCTGGATCTGCACCTATTCATGATTCATTAAAACCCAGGCTCCAGGCTGAGTGACCAGCACCTGCTCTAAGGTACACATCATCTCCAGCACTTGTTCTAGAATGGTGCTTTATGGTCATCCTGGCCCTTTAAGGAACACCCACCCTCACTTTAAGAAAATTTTTGATGCCTCATCTAGGCATTAAAAAAAATTTTTTTTTAACCATTTTAGGAATACTTTCTTGGAAGGAATCTTTTAGAATAGCTAGTCTTCTATATTCCATGAATCCTCCTTTAAAAAATGAATATAGGGCTTCCCTGGTGGCACAGTGGTTGAGAGTCCGCCTGCCGATGCAGGGCACACGGGTTCGTGCCCCGGTCCGGGAGGATCCCACATGCCACGGAGCGCCTGGGCCCGTGAGCCATGGCCGCTGAGCCTGCGCGTCCGGAGCCTGTGCTCCGCAACGGGAGAGGCCACGACAGTGAGAGGCCCGCGTACCAGGGGGAAAAAAAAAAAAAGAATATAAAGTTGCTTTGTCAACCTCCATGCCCCCCCTGCCCCCAAGAGTCAACTGGGATTTTGAGTGTACCATTGCCTTTACACTTTAAATGAAATTGATGTCTTTAAGAACTGATGGCTTTGTGATACCCAGGCTTCCTGTCTAGGAAGATGATCTAGCTCTTCATCTATTCATGTCTTTTTTTATGCTGCTTAGTTGTGTGTCATAGTTACCACCTCCCCCCATCCCCACACACGGTTACACAGGACCCACACATTCCTTATAAAGACAGATCCCAGACATTTCATAATTTTGGTTGCTGTGAGTGGATTATTTGAACAAAAATGTTAGTATCTGTGCATTGATGGTATATAGAAAATTGTTGATTTGTGTATGTCATAAACATTAGGAGCGTGTGTATTTATAACCCGCCACCTTCCTGAGTTCTCTCTTGGGTTTTCTAGGCGGGCAATCATATCATTTGAAAAGAATGGTTTGCTTTTATTTCTACCTTTCTAATAGCTATATTTTTATTTTTGTCTCTTCTGATATTTGCTGCAACTCTCAGACTAGTGTTACTAATGTGATAAAAAATACTGTCTTTTATTAACTTTAATGTGAATGCCCCTAGTGTTTCATTAGTAAATAAGGCATTAACTGTTGTTGATTGGAGGAAGGTTTTCTGTTTTTCTTAATGTTAGACACGCTTTTCCTAGTTTTCTAAGCGTTCTCCTGAACACGGTATTAAGCCCTGTGTAAAACACGATTCAGGTGTGGATCTTCACCCAAATGGGCTTTGGCTCGCGTGCGTGTGCATGTGGACTGATAGCACACGTGAGCACAGCTTCCCGAGGAGCATATAACTGCCCCAAGCTCCCGGCAGCTGCAGACCTGAGATTCAGACGAGGGGTTCTCCCGGGAAACTCTAGAGTCTACCTCCGATGAGTGCATTGTCGTGGGATTTTGTTCAACTGGATCCCACGATGGGGGTTTTTGTTTAAACCTAGTCCCTTTTTGTGAGGCGCTGTTATGCTCAGCTGGAGCCCAGGCTCTCCCAATAACTGGGTCGTGCTGTTTCCTGCTTCCCAGTGATGCCAACGGCCCCTTCGCCCAGTGGAGCACAGAGCGTGTGTGTGCATGGCTGGAGGACTTTGGCCTGGCTCAGTACGTGATCTTTGCCAGGCAGTGGGTGACTTCTGGCCACACGTTACTGACAGCTACCCCTCAGGACATGGAAAAGGTAAGGGCTGAGCCCTGGGCTAGGAGGCTCCCATCTCTCCCCAAACCAGCACACAGGGAAGTGAGGCCCCCCACTCCTCCACAGCCCACCCACGCCCACACACAGGAGAGTTGACAAAGGAGGGCGAGATTCTCTCTGTCACTTCAGGTTGATCCCAGGGCGCTAGGCAGAGGTCCGCTTCCATGCTCCACCCAGGTGGAGTACCTCCACCGAGACATAGCATCCTCTGAGGGCCAGGCTGCCCGCCGAGATTTCACATCTGTCTTCATCTTTCACTTTCAGGAGCTGGGAATTAAGCACCCTCTTCATAGGAAAAAGCTGATTTTAGCAGTGAAAGCTATCAACACCAAGCAGGAGGAGAAATCTGCACTACTGGACCACATCTGGGTGACACGTAAGGACAGGCATATGTGTGTTATGTTTCTGGCGGCCCCCTGGGAATGTGTGCCTCAAAGACAGCTGTGTCCTTGGGACAGGCAGACGGATTACTAAACTTTAGGGGAAATATAGCTGGAACTCAGAATGATAATGTGCTGCTGCCTTTTTTTTTGGCATCCACAGTCTTCCATTTTCACAAATTTCACTTCCCTGTTTCTGTAGGTTGGCTTGATGATATTGGCTTACCCCAGTACAAAGACCAGTTTCACGAATCCAGAGTCGACGGGCGAATGCTGCAGTACCTGACTGTGGTGAGGATCCTTCCTCCAGTGTTTCAGTTGTCCCTGTGAACACCCAACTCAACTCAGGTGTCCCCATGGCGGTATTTAAACTTGATTCCACACCTCCCTCATATCCCTCGGGTCTAAAACAGTGTCGTTCGTCACATAAGAGGTCCCAATTAGCAGAGTACGAACCATTGCTCCAAGGAAAGCTGTTACGTGTCCACATGCATTCCTGACGTGTAGTAGACCACTTGTCTGTGTATGGTCTGGGAAGGAGCCTCGGTGGGTGTGTGTCACTTTGGAAGCTCTGGTTCATCAACCCAAACTTTACTTTTCCAGAATGATCTACTTTTCCTAAAAGTCACCAGCCAACTACATCATCTCAGCATCAAATGTGCCATTCACGTGCTGCATGTCAACAAGTTCAACCCTCACTGCCTGCACCGGCGGCCAGCTAATGAGGTGAGGGCAGGACACTATATCTGTCCAGGTAGCCCTGAGCCGGGACACCTGTAAGATCGGGTGTGAGAAAACCAGAATGACATGGTCATAAAGTGGCTGCATTTTGGCCCATGGTGCTGCGGATTCTTCCCTTTACTAGGGCTTCATGGTGTCCCAACACGCCTGTGGCCTGAACTCTGCGTCCCACAGCAGCCACTAGCCCTCCAACTCCTCCCTCCTTTTGGGAGACATATGCTATGGGCTGGAGGGCAGTAGCAGCAAGTCTTTCAAAGCCATCATAGTGATTAAAGGAGATGAGGAAATGGAGCAAAGGGGAGGGAAGGGCGAGACAAAATGGAAAGACGGTGTCAAAGTAGGCAGAGGAGAGAAGAAGAGGAACCCATAAGTAACCAGACATTTCAGAACAGATCTCCCTACTCGTTGGTAGAAAATTAACTGACCTCCAGGCCTAGGCGCACAGGGAATCCATGATCAGGTTTTGCTAGAGAAGAAATGGTGGAGGTAAACACAGCAACCCAAATCCTGGGGAATTCCCTGATAATGTTTCAGGAACCCCGGAGTTCTGGGTGGGCCCCAAAGCTACAGGATTGTCAGTCACACCCCGTCTCCTATGTTCATGGGAGCCAAGACTAACCCTGCTGTAAGAGTAACTCAGCTTTCCAGGGGATTAAAAATTCATATCTCTACTCTCCGTTCCCTCTTTTCTCCCTGTTACACAAACACATTTTGAACCTCCTATATGTTAGGCACACTGCTGGGCATTTTGAAGACCCAGGTGCCACTTGAGGGTACTCAGGTATAAGTATCTTAACATGTGTTCTCCCGAAACATTTGGCCACACCAGTGAGATCTCGATTCTATAAAACACTCGGCTCGTAACTGACAGTCCTCTTTAAAGTTCTGTTGAATCACTGAATGAATAACTCCATGCTCTCATGTGTTAGTCCCAAAGTAACCAGAGTCAGGGAGTAACGGGATTCTGGAATCAGATATCTCAGTGCAGAAGTGCAAGTTCAATGAGAGCTTTATTTCTTGGAAACTGGGAGGGCTCTCGGGCAGCTGGCCTGGAGGCCTGGGTCTGTAGGTGTAAGGATTGTCTTCGGCAAGGCGTTCGGGGCCGGCTTACTCACAGGGACTGGCTCCACAGAGGACCCTGGTAGGACCTGTAGGCCTAACTTCTCCACTCTCCTTCTCTCTCTTACAGAGTAACCTTTCTCCTTCAGAAGTTGTGCAGTGGTCCAACCACAGGGTGATGGAATGGTTGCGGTCCGTGGACCTGGCGGAATATGCGCCCAACCTTCGTGGGAGTGGTGTCCACGGAGGTCTCATTGTGAGTGGCTCTTTGGGCTGGTCCGCCTGCCTCGGGGACACCTGGGGTATTCAGAAACTGATGTCTTAAGGGCTAGACAGGCATCCCAGTAAGAAATGTTGATACTTCATCTGAACCCCTTGCATAAACTGAAGTCTCAAAGTAGAATTTGATCATTTGTGGCTGAGAATTAATAGATTTCATGCAAACAAGATGGCTTCTGGAAAGACTTCCCGAGCCACAGACCCAGAGGACTCCAGGAAAAAGGGGCTGCATGAGAACCGCCTGTTAACCAGGCAGCTCCAGCTGCTGCTGGAGGAACACAGGGCTTGGGAGGGCGGGGGAGGCCACCAAAATGTACCCTCCTGCTTGTCATGAGACGATCTGCATCAGCACTTATCTGTCAAGTGGCAAAGCCAGCAGGGAAAGGAGGAAGGGGTGGCCCAGTTGTCCTCCAGATAGACCCTGGGAGACAGCCTTATCTAAGAGGGCACAGCTCTCTGCTGGTTGGCCACAGAGCCAGGCCCGGGGCCAGGGAGACAGAGGGGAGGGGGATACAGGACAAGAGGATGAGCCTCAGCCCCTGCCCTGGCGCCACCCGGGCTCATGGGGGCCCGTTTCTCAGTGTCATCACCTAGAGCCACCGGTGGTCGCCGCTGGGTGGCTTGTCTGTGGTTTCTTCTTAGATCCTGGAGCCACGCTTCACTGGGGACACGCTGGCCATGCTTCTCAATATCCCCCCACAAAAGACACTCCTCAGGCGTCACCTGACCACCAAATTCAACGCCTTGATTGGCCCTGAGGCTGAGCAGGAGAAGCGAGAGAAAATGACTTTACCTGCTTACACGCCGCTGACCACCACAGCCAAAGTCCGGGTGAGTCGCCAGGCCCTTTCTGGGGTGGCCACAGGGGCCTGCCTTCTGGCCCTTGAGTTGTGTAGCAGCTGACCCAGTGCCTGGAGCCAAACCCAAGTGGGCTGCCTGGACAAGGAGGCTCTCTTGGCTTCTGCCTGGTTTCTACCTTCGGTTTGATTTTGTTACTTTTGTTAACCTAGTTCCCGGCCACTCTTGAGTCCAAGGGTGCGCAGGTTTCTTTACACAGAAATGACATACAGGCAGCATGGGGTCCTCTCTCCCAACACTGCCTGGACTCGCTGTGCAAAGCAGACAAGCTCCCGACTGTGGGTTCCCTTTGGTCAGACCCATCTGCATTCCACATGCCACGTGGGGTCCTGGTCTAAGCTGTCTTGCCAACATAAGGAGTGTCCCTGTGGGTAGCCAGCCGTGGCCACCTTGTGCTGTGGAGGTGGCCAGCACACAGCCATCCAGAGGTCCTGAGGTCATCCAAGCACCAGCGCCGCTCACTGGGGCTCTGAATCCCACAAAGCCCGTTCCACCTGCCTGAGCTGTCCTGCCAACTCAGGACAAAGCTGGAGCAGGGAGGAAGGGCCGCCTAGGGCTGTCCGTGTGGCTTCCCAAGGTGCTGTGAACAGAAGGCAGGGGGTGCTCCACGTGTGATACCAAGTCCTCTGAGCACAGCCTCTGGGAATCCCCAGTTCCCCCGGGAATGTGAACATCACTAGTGGGACAGCAGGGCAGGAGTTTCGGGCACGGCATCCTGGAGGAGCAGCTCTACTAGCTCACGATGATTCATCTGTTGGCTTTTCCCCGGAAGGGCAATTGCTTATAGGAGCTCTATTTTGTTAAGAGTTTTTCTAGAAGCAGTTTGCCTTATTCCTTTCCTCGTCGGCCTGTTCTAAAATGCATTGTCAGTGGTAGCTGCACACTAGCTTGATCATCTCTTTCTCATAGTCTTGTATCTGCTGTGTTTTAGCCAAGGAAACTGGGATTTTCACATTTTGGAAACATAAGAAAAAAGAAGTTCGATGAATCGACAGACTACATTTGCCCAGTGGAGCCCAGCAACGGTGTCGGTGACAGTCACAGGGTCTGTATTGGCTACCAGGGCCTCAGCCCCCTCGATGCCCCCGAACTGGACGGACTGGACCAGGTGGGACAGATTAGCTGATGCCTTTGTCACCTGTACTGTCTGTGTGTGCCGAGAGCTCACAGTAGCTCCACGTGTGTCACCATGTAACTGCACCTCACCCCCTGTGTCTGTGCATGACTTGCAGAAAACCTTCCAGCCCTTGTGTACCCGTGGGCCAGTCTTTCTCCAAATCCTGAGGGTGGCCAGGTATGGCGCTGCACATTTGCTAAGGGGCCAGCCTTGGGGACTCAGGAGGAAAGACATAGAGATGCTTGTAGGTTTTCAGTAAGTCTGAATGTCCACCTTCAGCACCAGTGGCAATACCTGAGCTTGGACACAGGTCCGGAGACCACGGACAGTCCCGAGGCTGAGCTCTCGGGCCCCTCGGCTGTGCCCCCGTTGAGGGCAATCCCAAGTGCCTTAGGCCTGTGACCACAGTTTGGGCTGGGGCTGAAGGGACAGCAGCAGGGACTTCTGCCCCAGTGACAGTGGAACTGTTGCGCCTTCCTTCGGAGGCGGTCGCTTCTTTCTGGTAATAAAACCTATATTTATGTAGAAAACAAACTGCACAGCATCTTTGATCTTGTCAAGGGAAGTGAGTTGGGCGCAGCTAGAGATGGAATGCTGCTCATCGCGCAGTTCGAGAGCCAGCGCTGCTGAGCTGCGTCAGGATTTGTGGGTGTCCTAGGTGAGGGGGCTGGAGCAAGGAGGGACCCCCATCCTTTGGAGGTCTGTGGTGTTGCTTTGGGCTCCACTGCCTGGTGTGAAGCTGGGAGGCACTTTGTGTCTCACGTCCTGACTGGAGGTCACATCTGTCGTGCAGACCCCGAAGTCGGTTTCCATTCCAGCAGGGTGGGCCACCTAGTGAAGGGGGCGTGGGGAGACCAGGTGGCATTGCTGGAAAGGCCCTCTGTTCTTTCACGTGTTGTGCCGCTCCGCTGTGACTGACCTGCTGGGCCCGTAACCCCGTGGGGGCTGGTCTGTGTTGGCAGAGCTGGAACAGACCTGTCCTCCTGATTTAGAGGCTGACTAACTGATAATGGGTCTTCCAGACGGGCCTGGCCTGGCCAAGGCCAGGCGGAGGGACACACCTGCCAGTCTGGGCTCCTGCTCATGAGATCCCAGTTAGTCCCAGTGCAGCTTTTGGTTCTACTGGGTCCCCGGGCCTCGTCTGCAGAAGCGCGACGGCAGCACCATAACTGTCTGGCGGATGGGGCAGGGCCTCATGACCCCAATCTGAACGCTCTGATTCTGTCCCAGATGGAGGCGATGTGAAGATTTGCTTCTTAAACGACCATGAGTCTCAGGCCATGGCCTCCCGGCCTCCCCTGAAGTCCAGCCAGCAAGAGATAAGGGCACAGGCTTGCCAGCTGGCATGGCCGGAACCACTGAATGACAGGTGCTCCCCGGGGCTGATACCTGGGCACTGCAGTTTAGAGCCACAGTCAGGGCGGGCTTTGTCCCTCGTTTCTTATCGTGTCCTGGTGGGAGAATCTCCGCGTGTGCCTGCTTGCAAACCCCGCGTGGAACTGTTATGTCACTAGTTCTCTGTGCAGCCTCAAGCAAAGCCTGTATCACTTTGTGGGCCCCCGTTTTCCCACCGATAAAATGATGGATTGTACTCGATGCCCTCAAAGGGCAAATCTACAATGTCCAAATAGGTCTGGGGAAGAAGGAGCAGGCCAGCATTTACCTGAGAAGGAGAGGAGGCAGGCTCCTAGGAGCGAGGACGCCCTGGCAGCTCCCTGAGGATGCCTAGCTATGCCTAGACTGGGGCATCAGTGTCTGGGGTCCTGCTGGTGCCAGAAATCTGCAGTGTGTTCAGCACGCTGACGGCCTTCGTACCTGCCACTCTCTGCTCCTGGAAGTAGCTGGAGCACTGAACCTGTGCTAAAGGGCCGCTCTGACAGGGCCCGTCTGTGCCCTGCTCCTGTGTCCCCTTAGTGCTGGCGCCGGGGTGGGGACAAAGGAGAGTGTGTGTGTGATGGTGTGGGACACTGGAGGCTCTGCCTTTCCCCAGGGACAGAAGCAGCACGTGCTCCACCCGTCACTCCGCAGGGCCTGGCCCACTCCTTGCCCGCTCGCCTGCGGAGCACGCCTGAGCAGGATAGGACTTGCATGCCACCTCTGCGAATCACGAGCTCAGTCCACACGTGCTGACCAGGCTGCTGCCCACTTTACAGGTGACCCCTTCGGAAGGCACCCTGATGCAGATAGGGCTCCTCTCCCAAGACATTCACCGCCTCACGGTAGGACTCTGACCCTCTCTCCACAGTAGGACAGGTGCTGGGGAGGCCCCGGGAGTTTGGGGATGGTGCTGGGCAGCCCCTGGGCCTACTCCAGAGCCTGTGGTGTCAGGGCCTCTGCTGGCGGAGAGCAGATGGGGCCGGGGGCTGGGGCTGGAGCCGGGGCCGGGGGCTGGGGCTGGAGCCTGAACCGGGCGAGACGGAAAGCAGCCCAGAGGCCTTCTCTGTTGGCCTGCTGCCAGCCTTGTGCTAGGTCTCAGGCCCTCTTCCAAGGCTGGTGAGGAAACCGAGATGCTCAGCAGCTCTGGGTCACCCGCCTCGTCAGCCCAAAGCCCAGGCCTCGCCCCTGGCTTGGTGGCCACTGCTCTGCTCTCTCCATCCATGAGACATATATTTCCTATCATGCCTCTGGCTTCATGGACACCACAGGCACGTGAGCACATCCTGGCATGTCCAGGGGGGACAAGCCGTACCATATGAAGCAGCTTGGACCAGGGGAGAGGAGGCACTCTGGAGGGAGGCTGACCTGGTCCCTGTCTGGGACCTCGGGCAAGTCACTCTCTCTCCGAGCTCTGGCTTCCCTATCTGTCAAGCAGAGCTAATATCCTCCTTGCAAGGCTGCTAGGCAGCCCGGAGCTGGTGGTAAAAGGCCAGTCCCAAAAAAGATTCACATTGTTGAGGCCCTGTGCCTTCCAGCCCCAGCACTGAGCCCACCGGCCACAGCGTCCAGCCCGTTGAGGCCTTTGCTGATGTACTGAGGCAGGTTATGAAGGCTGTATCCCAGGGCAAGGTGGTCAAGGAGGGGGCGGGTCTCCCCGAATCCAAACAAGATCACTGTTTTCAATTTGTTTTTTTCTTGGCTCACACACTGAAATGAATTCACCCAGCCTTGCGCTTATCACTTCTATAGGCCTTTGGTGGCCTTCAAATAGCAACTTTACTTCTAAAGGTAGGAGCAATTTATTGTTGACAGTGTTGTCTATTCTGAGCCAACACGTGGGGTGCCTGGGACACCATGAACTTCCAGGGCGCTGGAGTCGGGGCCACACCCAGTGCCCCGCTGCTTCCCACATCGTGGCCGCAGGGCAGCCTTGACCAAAACGCTGTTGAACAGTGCCTTCGGCCGTGTCCTTTCAGACCATGCTCAGCCAGGACCAGCTGCTGACCGACTCCCGCCTGGCCGCTCCCAGCTCTGAGGACTGGTGATGACTGTCTTATCGCTGGCAGCCCAGAGAGGCACGTGTGACGGCCTGAGTCCGCTTCGATGGGGAGCTGGCCCATGGCCACCCGTGGAGCCCAGGCTGGGCTGCAGGGCATCTCCAACATGGGTGCTGATGGGACAAAGCGGGGCTGTGGAACAGATGTCCAGGAGGTGGCCCACATGTCTTCAACTGTGCTGTGCTCTTCGTCGCAGCTTTTATACCTTTTGTACTTTTATACGTGGACTGCAGACCACTTTTGTGGGGAGGGCGATGAGATGCCAGCACAGACTCAATGACTCACGCCATCCCTGGTGACAGCTGGGGGTTCTTACACCCAAGGGGAAGGGCTGTGAGTCATAAAAACTTTGCTGGAAAAGTAATTCTGAATGTTCTGAGCAGGGCGAAATGGTAGGAAGCCCCCTCCTGGGCTGCTTCCATACAGAAACGCGTATTGTATTTCCTTTCCCAGGAATCTGGCTGGAGTGACAGCAGGGAAGGAGTAATAGGACTCCCTTCCCACTGTCCTCAAGCCACCCTTGTCTGCAATGGTGTCTCAGGGCTGCGGGGCCTCCCAGCACCTGAGCAGAGGCGTCTTCGAAGCCTTTCCCTTCTCAGCCTCAGAGGCAACTGTCTGATCAAACGGCAACCCCCTCTCCCAGCCACCCCGAGGAAGGCCCTCAGGCACCCACATCAGCGTTTCCACCGCAACACATCTCAGGTATGCCCCACCTCAGGGAGAGGGACCTGCACACGGACCCCACACAGTCCCCTCCCAGCCAGCCTTCCCCCTTAGCGATGGTCCTTCTTCCTCCCTCTGGCCTCATCTCTCGTCTAATTTCCATGGTGGGTCTCCTACTTGGTCCCTCACCCTTCCTTTCCAGTTAGTCCCCTCCAGGTGTTCTCCACCCCATCCCCAGAGGGACCTTCCCAAAGCACTGTTTCATCCTGTTCCCTGCTAAGAACTCAGCTCCACAACTACCACAGATTAGCGTTCAAAAGCCTGAGCTGAATCTTCGGCCTTCCACGCCCTAGCCTGTGCTCCTGCCTTTCCCTCCCCGTGGAATGTGCTTTTCTCCTAGTCTCTGTCACGAAGCTGAATCCTGCCTGCTGAGGTCCAGAACAGCCCCAGCCTCTTTCAGGAAGCCTTCGCTGGTGTTTGTTAGGGTTGGAGGTGTCTCTCTGTCCCACGGTGCTGACCTTGGCCCGAGCACTTCCTGGCTCACCTTGAAGTAATGTGTCACCTTTCTCCCCTTCCACACCTGTCCTCAACACAACCTCACTGAGCACCCGCTACGGATGGGTTCCCGTACAGACAGGAGTAAGACCCAGTCCTAGCCCTCTGACGGCCCAGGAGATCCATGATGCTAAGTTCATCCGCTCATTCCCTCACATGTGCAGGTTGAGTACCTCCCATTCTGGGCTAAGGAGCACTGGAGCTACAGGCATGAATGTCAAGGTCCTTGCCTGAGGGTGGGGATGGTGCACTGTGGGAGTTCAGATCTGTTTCAGACAAGAGTATGCTGAACGATACAGACGCTCCAATAGAAGCGCCCACAGCCCCAAAGAGCAAACTGTCATTTTTAATGGAGGGCTGGGGACAAGGACTGAAAAGCCTCCAAGGAGAGGTGCTACTTGAATTTTGAAAGATGAATCAGCTTCCTCAAGTATGCCAGAGGGGAAAGGCACTCCAGGCAGAGGGACCTGAAACAACCCAGCACATCCAAGGAAGTACCCGAGGTCGGTATGATGAAGGCAGAATTTCCTGACCTCTGCACTGCTGTCATTGGGGTTGGGTAAGTCTGTGCTCGGGGCTGTCCTTGGCCTCTTAGCAGCATCCTTGGCCTCTCCCTCTACCCTCTAGGTGCCAATAGCACCCCTCTAGTTAGGACAACCAAAAATGTCTCCCGACAAAATCACCTCTAGCTGAGAACCAGTGGGCCAGAGAATGGGGTCAGAGTGGGAGGCCCAAGGAAGGAAGAATCGGGTGAGGTCAGCTGGAGCCAGATCGAGAAAAAGGCTTTGTAAGCCAGGCTCCTGAAATTTATCTTGGGGACCCAAGGTGTCCGGATACGGACTAGTGAAAGCAGTGAGAGGTTTAAAGCAGGGAACAAGCATG